TTTCAGCTGCTCTTATACATCATTTAAGTAAAATCTCAGGAAGATCAATAGTTTTGTAGTTCGAATTTTAGTGACGTCATGTGAAAACCAGCTATACTATAAAAAACGAATAAAGGTTTTAAAGTGATATCTAAATTATTGAAAATGGTATTTACCAGCTGTTGCTTCATGAAAAGATGAAAAAATTCTCTTGTAAGAAAGTGATCACAAATGCCACGAGAAAAGAACAATTGATGTTCATTTTCAGTTTCATTTGCGTGACAGAAGGAAAAGCTTCTTAAATCGTGAGAAGTGAATCGTGTGTCTGCCTGTATCAGTTGGTAGTCTTCTTTTGTGTTTCCCCAAACACAAACAAATGCCAACGCTCAGAAAATATACAAACAACGGGTGAAAATATACAGCGAAACTACACACCAAAACATGTAATAAGTTATTTATTATACAACTTTGGAATCAACAAATTTACAAACATTTAAACATGAACAAATTCAAAGCCCTGCCACGATGTTTCACTTTTGCCACGTATCGAAACCACGAGAAGTCGGACAGGAATTTCACTTTCATTAGTTAACTAGTTTTTATCATGATCAGCACACTGTGGTGTTCATTGCGAAATCAAGGAAAGACTCGCGAAGAGCACGTGCAAGAGCTCAAGCAGCACGTGCTTTGCAGTGAGTTGTTTTCAAGTGAACGGCTAACATCAACTACCACTTGATCTTACTGCATGACTCATTGTTTGTTTTATATATATATTTTAAAACACTTACATACGTACGTGTATTTCATATTTTATTAATTATTAGATAAGTAATCGTACTTAGGTGTCCCCAATTAGTATACATTGTATGCTAGCGACTTGGACACGTTAATAAAGTTCTTATCTTATCTTATCTTATCTTATCTTATCAGTGCTTAGAGCTCTGTTGTTTGGTATGCTGAGATCATGATGAGATTCGTTTACCCTTGAAAGTAGAAAGTGCAGAAACTAAACTTCTTTTCTTGCATATGAATCCGGCAATTTCAGTTTAAAAGTCATTTCAGGTAATCAAAGTAAAAATTGATTGTATTACTCACTAAATTACTTGCTGGCCCTCGAGGTTCGTTGAGAAATACAACGGCCTCACTGCGGAGGAAGCTCTAAGGATAAGTCTAAAATGCTTGGATAGCGTTCAGAAATTAAGGTCTAAAGGAAAATTGCTCAAATTATCTTTCTGAAAAAAAAGTCCAGAATTTATTCCAACTTAAATTGAATACCCTTACAACCTCCATAAGCAAAACTACCTAAGACTGTTTCTCAATCGAACAGCAATTCATTGTCGTGTTGTATAGCTGTAGTTTAGTACAGAGTAGAAAAGCAAGGAGAAAAAACTCGGCCATGAGTTATGAACGAAAATAGTAATTTTACTGGTGGGTTATGCAATGAAATAAACACTTAATAAGAATGTGATGATGCTCAAAAGCACACGACCTTTTAGAACCTGATCTGTTTAGGAGAGCATTTAAAGGTTATGATAATGTTATTTTGCTCCGGAAAATGCCTCTAATGACATTTGCAGGTTGTTGGCTTTAAATTACCTTAAGGTGGCATTCTGGTCTTCGGGTTTTATGTGCAGAGTTCGGCAACAGCTGCCAAAGCAGTCCTGATCCTCTTTTGAGTTGTTTTCGCCTTTTTTCGGCCAGTAGCCGAGATATTTCGTCTGTAGAAAGACTGGTAAATTTTTTCTTTCTACCGGCAGCTCTCTTTTACAGACTTTGATCACAAATGGAACACAAACTACAGAAGTGATTTTCATGGCTCAAAAATTTAGAACACGAATTTGAAAAACAAACATCACGCCACCTGTTGTCACAAAGTTATCACCTGCTTACATTACACAAGCACGTGATAATTGATGACATGAAACCTGGGATTATGTCAGAAACGCTACGACCACGAAAGATCCCGGGGGGAACTACCATGTAAAAGGACAGGGATGGTCGTCGGAAATTTGAAAAGAATTTGACTCCTAAGCGGCTAAGAGGTACCAAGACCCTGTTTTGTGAGCGTGGCTTGAGATGTTTTCACCCCTATTAAAAGAGGCACCAATTCTAAAACAACACATGATCTCCTGTCATATTACTTTCGGCTCAACACCCTAAAAGGTACCAAGAGATACCAAAACCACTCTTACATCTCCTAAAACGTACGACGAGCACCCCCCGTCCTTTTTATGTGGGAGTCTCTCCCCCCCCCCTTCCCCCTCCCCTCTCCCGGAGGGCAAAACATATGGTCGAGGTAGTGCATTTGGGGGACAGTTTTTTATACGACGGCCTGGTGAAAAATTTCTAGGCCAAAATTTCGGTGAGAGGTGATGAGGCTTAGGAATGGAGGGTTGAAAGGTTGGGACGTTTTCAGGCTATGGAATATAAACATATTTGCGTTTCGAGAAAATAAGCCAAAGAAGAAATCACCTTAGTAGCAAAGGGGTAGTAGAAAATATAAACGAAAGAGGAAACTCGTATTTGATAATTTCCCCGCGCTTAAAACAACAGCTGATCAAATGACAAACCAGATGCTTTATTTTCACAACGCACGAGGCGATTGACCTTCTGAAATCAATAACACCGAGTTACATTTGTAACGCGAATCACAAATGTCACGCTGAGAAACATGCAGTCCTAGTCCGCTAACAGTCTCTTACTTTTCCTTTGGTTAATTGATAGTCACGTGGCAATGATGAGACGGGTTGCAATTATATAACAAGAAGTAAGAAGAAATTCACAACCGGGTGGTTGAAATTAAAATTAACTTATTTAGTGCTTTCAAACAGAAATAAAATTGACCTGGTCCAAAAAAGACAGACTACGGGCAGTAGGTTTTGTTCCTCAAATCCTCCGCGAGACAGGGAAAACTAAAATTATACAAAATAGGAAAAAAAAACGAGGATGAAAATAGAGCGAGACAGGACAAACCCCATTCTTTTTTGGCCTTTCCTCGTGTCTGTCGTGGTCGCGGCTTTGCCGCTCGCCGCTCCATCGTTCTTCTTTTGCTTCTCAAACTCATTAATAATTCATCAAGTTTAAACAAAGAAAATCACAACCGTGAAGGAAGTTTCGATACCCAGTCTCAATTAGCATAGATTTTGACGATTTTGCTTCTCCCTTTACTCCTTAGTTTTTGTTTCGATTGAGAATACATATTTCAAACACTCTAGACAGTGTTTCATCGGCTATGCATACATCTCGAATGTCGTCAAAAATACTCCACTGCGCGTCGTATTTTCAACTCTCTTCTCGGTGTTTGGATATCCCAATGAAACACTGTCTCTCGTATTTGATATATTACTTCGTATTAGTGTGTATTTCGTTACACCACCCTAGTAAGACTCGCTTTATTTCAGCTATATAGTTTTTCAAAATGGCCATGTTGTCGGATGCTGTAAACATTCTTGGAAAGAGAAAACAATTTTTGTGAGGCGATTTTAGCGTTTGTCTGTAGATGAAACGCCGATATGTGATCATTTGAATGAATTCAGGTTAACGAGAAGTACATTCGTGTGGTATTATTTATTATGCTGTACGAGGTGTTTCTAGCTGTTAAGTCTCTGGTTGGAACCTGACCCCAGTATCCAACCATTCAAATTAAAGCTACTGAGATGTAGCACCTTCATGTGAAAGCATTAAGAGGGGGGTTCTAACTTTTGAATGTGTGAAAGAATTCTCTGTGTGTGTATGTAGCCATTATATTCAAATTAAGTTAACGTGTTGGACTTTCATGTAGTGCTGTTTACATACGATGTTAGAGGCGTTTTTAAGTCGGCGGATCCCATTCTGGTTAAGAACCATTGGAATAACGATGCAAATGGAAGCGATTTCAGAGGATGTTATATATCTGAGGCTCAATCATTCAGCATACTCATAAACTACTTTTAGTTGAAAAGTCTTCCCTTTTAGAGAACAGATAGCTATTACTTCACTACTTCGCGCTCATTTAGTTATAGTTTCACCCGTAACCGAGAGGGACGCAGATCGTGACTTAGATTCGTGAACTGAAGCATCAGAACAGTCTCAACACTCGGTTCAGCCGAGAGAAGGGCCTTGGGGTCCACACCCTAAGCCTGGTGTTTGCTGAAAACTCTTTGGGGCTGGATAGCCCAAATCGTCACGCCCCCCGCCCCCCTTTCTTTTGAGTTCCACGAAATCATAAACAGGTTTAGCAGGCTGCAAACCCGCTCAACCATCTGTTGTATATGATCAATTTGACAGTGTTCGAGGCGAAGTAGCAATCTATGCTCACTTCTTGACTGGGACTTTGCTTGTTAATTGACTATTTGGGTGTTCCTCGATAAATTGATAAAAGATGGTACTTTTCGTGGCGCGTGGCTTGTCAAAGAAGAAAGACTGGCTTGTCAACATTTCTTGGAAAAACATTGTTGTGTTCGAGTTCAAATTATTGTCAACAAAAGTTTATTTCAGTGGGGGTGGGGGTGGGGTAGGATTATTGGCCGCCGTCGCAAGAACATGTGCTTTGGAAGGTGTTATATTCAATGCGTTTGGTTCTTCAACGAGATGTAAAGCAAAGGCGAGCAAGAAGTAGTCATGTACTAGGAGATGGTTGTAGTCCTTAACATTTTCCACGTCTGAGACTGCGTCTCCAATCCCTTTGTTAACGCTATGCAAATTAAATGTCACGTAAATTCCGGGAAACTTTGTTTTCTCGGAAATGGAGCAAGCGTCCTAATTTCTTGCATCAATGCTAAAATTAAACAGACGCGGTGATACTACGGATCATTCATGTGGTATGGATGTCTCGGTCTTCGTTTCTTGTAACTCGTTTAGGAATGAGTTGCAAACCTGTGGTAAGTATGCAGTGTCGTATAATCTCCACCATGTTTTTAATACCACAAAGTTGTTTTCTTTTGACGCTGTCGGTGGTAGATAGCATTTGTTTTAACGTTTTCAGTCAGCAACAGCTCCACGCAAATCTTCCATCGTCGTTTTGAGAAGTATAATTTTCGTTGAAATCGATTAAGCAAGCGAGAAGTTCCGTGGTTACTTTCTGCTCTTTTTGAACCAAAATTTAATGAGCTATACTTAGCACGGCGAGTAAATCTTCCCGGGAATTTTGTTATGCATCCAGTAACCGTGAAGGATGCCTTTCGGAACTTGTCATTAGGACGAAAAGAGCCATATTTCGGCCAACTCTGGGATGAAGTATCTCTTATATCTCTGCTATGCAACGGACACTTGAATTCCGAATTTGTGAGCGTGAAAACGCCTGTATATAACTTTCGATTTCAGTTTCTACTTGCGAATTACTCATGTAGAGGTAAAACATAGCGCGTCATTCTCGCTGAATGATGCAAAGCCACATGGTGCTTTAGGCTGTCAAAGAGTGTTCGTCGATTAAGTCTGATGTATTTCCTTTGTAGAATAATGTTCATTATTTTTCAGCAGGTTGATAGTAGATCGGTAAACGAGAAGGAATTCGATTTAATAAATAATTCAACGAGGAAAAATAGTTATCTAAAGCGAAAGTAATTGTAGTAACACTTCCGCGTTTTCTGAAAACTGTTATTTTTGATGCGTACCTCCAATCTTCATTCTTTGGCACATTTAACATATATCTGTGTACACTTGGTAAGATCATTTCACGTACACAGCCGTATATTTCAGTCGTGATAATTAGCACACTCTAATTTGAACTTTGCTTTCTCCCTCTGTCGAAATGAAAGCGGGCGGATCCTGTATGAAATTTGATCTTCTCTGTCGAAAGATAACGTTTAGGAAATAACCCCAAATCTTGCAACATAAAGGTAGCCTATAGACCTCAGAAGAGAGTCTGAATAGCAAAAAGTGAAAAACAGGTCTCTAGCTTGACTAACCTAGTCTTAATTAAGGCCTTGTCACCATTTTTTGCAGACCCGTTTGCATCGACGAATACTCCAGGTTTATACACAGATCTAGAAGGGAAACATTCGCCAAGAAACAGGAGCCACTGTGTGACATTATTCAACGGCCACGGAAAGAACCATAAGCCCGCTCCTTTTGAGAATGGCCACGTCCGTTATAACATGTCATCTTGCAACGGGTTTCATGAACCACAGTCGCGTGAAACGAGCCTCGAAAAGACTGTTGGGCATGGAAGACCCATGTCCCAATCATTCCCAAAACGGCTACCTTCGTGGGAAAGTTCTGCTTCTGAGAATGATGATAGACTTAACCACGGCCGCACCCAGTACACAGTGGTAGGTGATAGATAACAATAACAATTTTGTAATTCTGCTTTCCTTGCAAGAGTTGATAATAATTTCACTTTGTTGCCAAATGTAGGCTTCAACAACTTGTTTCACAACGTAATTATTATATTCCAGCCCTTAAATTGAACATTTTTTTATCTTCCCGTGTTACGCTTTCTAACGTTATTTGATAACCTTTTACATGCCCTACAGCAACCTTATTCTGCTCTTCGTCGGTGCATTAAAAGTTATTCATAAGATACTTTAATTAAGGTATCTCTTTTTTTGCAGGTACCTGAGATATCAAGGCACCATAGTGAGTTTAACATGGAAATGGAAAGACAAGGTGTTCCCTTCACAACGCAGAACATTCCAAAGGGTGTCGATTCCCTAGAAATCAGTAAACTATTGGAAAACAATCTACACTTGGGTCTTCCCCCATCATTTGGGGCTGATTTGAGGTCCAAAGAAGGCATCGCAGTTGCAGTCCCTCGAAGATGGTCTTCCGAATGTATTGACAAGTATTCGTCAAGTCCTCCAGCGTCACACCTCAAGAACACTGTTTCCTTGAAACCGAAAGGGCACAACGGCATGCGTTGGACCTCAGGAAGGAGCCATAGTGAAGGCGAAGCAAACCCCTCTCTAAACGGCTGGAGTCCCCTTATACCTTATGGCTCAGGATTGTGTGTTGAAGACGAACCAAAACGTGAAGATCTTAAATCAAAGATTCTTGATGTGCTGACCTTGTATGGAGCTTTGGAACCCTCAGAAATCATTAACGCTGTTGGACGTGGGACAAGGGAGGAGGTGAGCCAGTCTCTATGCTCGCTCGGTAGACAAGGTCTTGTTAATTTCACAGTTGCGAGTAATCCCTCCCTTACCGTATTGACAACAGCCGGGCAACCTGTTCGTGAGAAACGAGCGAACCCTGGCGTTATTGGGGGAGAAAGGAGCAACAACCAGTCTTTGGCAAGAAGTGGCTATGAAGACTTCTATCCGCAGCTACCAAGGAATTCATCTTGGGGATCTTATGATAACAGGCCAAGAAAAGAACCTCGGACAGTTGATGGCGTGAAGCCATGGATGCGATCAAATGGTAATGGTCTTACACCAGGTGAAAGAAGTGCGTGGAATTATTGCAAATTGTGTCGAGTTTCACTAATGTCGGAGGCACAATACGAAGAGCACCTTCGAACCACCAAACATCAAAACAAAGTGGCAAAGTTCAACGCGATTCCGTACAAGAAATACTGCGAGTGTTGTAAAGTGCATCTAAATTCCGAGTCGCAAGCCAAGGAGCACTTTAGCAGCGGTAGACACGAACAAACTGTTGCGAAATCTCAAAAGGCACCACCACAGCAACATCTACCATTGATCACAGTTCCTGAGGAGTTTCTTCCGCAACGAAGCACAAGAACACAGCCATGCGACTACCAGATGGAGCTGTACTGCAAGGCAATGAAGGCAAATGGCGTGTGTTTCCTCCCAACTGGAACTGGCAAGACACTGGTGGCTTCTCTGGTCATTGGGCACATGCTTGCGTTGAATCCATCTCGGCAGGTGGTGTTCCTTGTTGATCGCGTCCTCCTTGTTCTGCAACAAAGGGACTACCTTAGGAAGGAACTGGCGCATGTTCGAGTCGCGGATGAGCGAGGTCCTTTTAAAGGTACCAGACCCATTCGCATCGGAGCGGTGTGTGGTGAAATGAGGAAGCTTGAGGGAAATGCTCGCATCTACGAACAGGATGTTCTGATCATAACAGCCGACTGCTATCGGAATCATCTGAATAATGGAACACTTCGCTTTGATGACGTCTCATTGATAGTTCTAGACGAAGCACATCACTGTAATAAGGACCATCCTTACAATGTCATCATACGAGACTTTTATCTTCGTGAAGATGTTCTTCTAGGCCACAGACCCAAAATACTGGGACTCACAGCCTCCCCAGCTGGGGAAATCTCTCTGGACAAAACAACCAAACGATTGCAGAGGCTCTTGGGAAACCTGGGCGAAGCACAGCTTTTGATAGTCACAAACAATGTGCGAGAATTGGAAGAGAAGACAAGCAGGGCGCCGCCTGACTGCATCTCAGCTTCATACGCAAATTGTGAATGCGAGCTCATGGACGTTCTTGTGGAATACGTTACCAAAGCATTCAACATGGCAGTGCGACTGAGCGAGATGAAAGACTACAAAGACATCTTTCAACCGTCTTCCGGCGGCCATTTTAGCATCGATGACATCTACCCTGTACTTGGTGTCATTGATAACATTTTACTTTCCCGCCCCGAATCTAACGCCTTGTATTCGCTGCTGCACTTTCAGCTGATGTGTGAAATTGTGTGTACCCTTCAAGAGTGTGGAGAGCAGATAGCGATTTATCAGATGGCCGAACTGGCAGACGAGAAGTGTCCCCATGGCTTTTATTGGGCAGAGAGTGTGGGTCTTCCCTGCGCCAAAGTCAGGTCATATTTAGAACACTATCTATGGCAAGGTAAAGTAGACTGTTACCGTTGTTTATAGTACGCTTTTCAGGGTCGATTTTTTAAACCACATTTCACCAGTTAAAGAACAGATAAAAAGCCAGTGCCTTGTTACATCTAGTCATTTTCACTATGTACAAAATAGACTTATGAACAAAACTACGTTAAAACTAGGAATCTAGAAATCAGTTTACTCAAGTGAAGAATGACTATGGACACGATCTAACAATATGTTTTCATTTTTCCAAAGGCGGGTTTTCAGAGTTTCATGGGCCAAATTCAGGAATAGAACAACTGATGAAGCAGTTATTGCAAATTAACTGGACTGGGACGAGCAGCGGAGTCAATTTCGTCTTGGTTCTGGTCAAACGGGCACGGACGGCCCGATACTTGGCTTCCTATCTGTCAAACAGCGGGTTGTTGCGGGGCGTCAAGACGACATCCTTTGCAGGACATGGAAGTGGATCTGCTGATAACGGTGAGACCTTGTCTTGCAGATGTTTCCCGAGAGGGAGGGGGGGGGGGGGGGGGGG